TATCAGAGTATCTGGTCTGAGTAGAGTAACCCCGAGGTATCAGAGTAGCCCACATACCAACGCCCTACGACAGCTACTGATGAACATAAAGGATCCCATAGGCACTACACAGGCCAAACCGGGAGAAAACTGACAAAACAGATACATGAACACCAACTAGCCACCAACAGACACGGCCAATTCTCACTTGTCTCACTATACACAGACAAAGAGGGACACAAATTCAACTGGGACAACACATCCATAATTGCACAAGCCAAACAGAGACACACCAGGGAATTCCTGAAGGCCTGGTATTCTAACTGGAACTCCATCAACAAACAAACTGAACTAGCCCCTGCGTACAAATCATGAGAAACAGAACCGGAAGCAATAGCAACCACCCCAGCAAACCGAGGCACATAAATAACAAGCAGGACAGAACACTGGTGCTTCACCTGAGGTGCACTGACAATGTTACCCAGCAGATGATGAAACATTCGTAACTAAACCCATTGGCTCGGCGAGCAAGTCTACAACCTCACAGCTAACCAGTTTGAAATGAAATGATGACACAGTCACCAGAATCTGTAAAAGTATACAGTGTGCCAACAACAGCCCTTAAGCAAAGACAGAAAACAATGTGGACTGATAACAGCAAGGAGATTGGAAGCTCTCCTCTCTCAGTCTCAATCTCAAATCCCAAAAAGCCAGCACCAGTGAAAAAGCAACTCCGGAAAATTCACTGAAAACTCAATATCTACAAACTGCCAAAGAAACAAAACAACAGAACAACTGTTGGACTCAGGTCTTTTCATTCCCAGAAATCAGCAGGGCCCTTAAGATTTGTCACAACAGTTGCCTTTACCTCCCTATCTGTATGGACACCCCTCCCATTACTGCAAACTCTTCGTAAGCTCTTAGTGCGCAGGAGCTCGATGCTGTGTATTATCGTTGTTGGTGGGGTAATATTAAGTAATAAAACACCACGGTCTCTCACCCTGGAAAGGACTGGAATCGGTTCTCTGCCATTTTTGATCTGATTAATTAAATTTAAGTGAAGTATGAGACTGCACGTTAGAAACATTCATCCTGACTGACTGAGAGCAGTCTACAAAGAGGGGAGCAGAGAACCCTCCTCTCCTGATTGTAGCAGGAAGGTTCTCTGGCGGACTCAGTAATTTGATACGGTGGTGACTGACGCTCATGGAGATATTAGAAGAGATCAGTCATGACCCACCTCCCATCATTCCACAGGGCACTTTACTGGGGGAGGCACAGAAGGGGCTAGACCGCCTCTAAGAATGGCCTGGATACTCTTGTCTGACTACAGTCATCGTTTGAGGCCCTGTGAAGTGCTGGGGTGCTCCCATATAACAGCAGTGTGACTGTTTGTAAAGTGAGTGCTCTGAGCAACGTGAGCACAGGTACAACTGCCCAGTGTAAGGTATAATAACTCAGGCGTGGAGCTCCAGCAGCAGGCCTCTTTATGACTCAGTCATCCTGGGCCAGGATACAGAACACTGTGTCACACCGAACGGCCAGCTCATGCCTTCCAGCTGTGCCCCTCAATTCTCCACTTCCAAAGTCGGGGCGGGTCCCACTGTTTGTAAATGTGCTAGAGGCCTCATCGCTGAGGTGCGTCTGCTGGGTGCTGTGGCACGAGCAGCAGACTGCCCTGGTTAATAAACCTGTCGTTGGGTTTATTTAGATGTGGGCACACCACAGTGAGGTGGTACTCACTGCCACTCGGTGAATTAGGGAGTGAGCTTGGTGCTGGGTGGGAAGGTGGTCTGACTTAGCACCCAATCTATTTGATGTGCCGCTCCCCCTCAACACACCCATTGGGTCGGGGGGAACTGTAAAACCATAAGACACAGGAGCAGGAGTAGACCATTCGGCCCATTGAGTCTGCTCCGCCATTCAATGAGATCATGACTGATCTGATAATCCTCAACTCCACTCTCCTGCCTTTACCTTATAACCAGAGATTCCCTCACTGATTAAAAACCTGTCTAACTCAGCCTTGAATATATTTAATGACCTAGCCCCTATGGTAAAGAATTCCACAGATTCACTCCCCTCCGGAAGAAGAAATTCCTCCTCATGTCTATCCCAGCTGGGTGACCCCTTACGCTGAGATGATGCGCTCTGGTCCTAGGGTCTCCCACGAGGGGAAACAGCCTCTCTGCATTTACCCTGTCAAATCTATAAGAAGCTTGTAATGTTTCAATAAAGTCTCCTCTCATTCTTCTAAACTCCACTGAGTACAAGCCCAACCTACTCAATCTCTCCTCAAAAGGCAGTCTGTCTATCCCTGGGATCAGCCAAGTGAACCTTCCCTGTGTGAGGTCCAGTCTCAATATGCGAACTGGCGGGGGGAGGGGGTTATGTGGAATATCACAAAGGAAGCTGCATGGCCTCAGCTGGGAAACATTTGCACACATCTGGAAGACCAGGTCCTCCCCAGACCTACCAGATTCTGTCTGGGCTTTGGGGAGAGGGCTGTACTCGCGCAGGGAGAAACATGTAAATGGCAGCATTGCACTGAGACATCCACACTGAAGGGGGCGAAGCCTCCTCGCTGTGCAATACACTCTCTCCCTCCGAGGAGGTACGTTCTATTCACAAACACAAATGAAAGGTTTCCTCAAGTGCCTGGCCAAGAGATAATCAATCATAAATGGACTGCTCTTACACCGGATCCCACGAGATCACAACATGCTCTTGATTCTTTTTGTACCTTGAAATGCTTCTGGAAATGGAAATGTAACTACAACATTTTTATTTCATAATCATCGCGAGCCAGACCCATTGAACTATAAAGGTACAGCAACTATTCATGACGATTCTGGAGGGCCTGAAGTATTAATTCTACTCCTCTCTCTGCTGACTGTTTTATAGAAATTTGATATGGACCATCCAACAATCCGCTTACTCTGTAGGGTACAGCCGATACACTCAGTAGAAGGGAGGGTTCACCCTGCTGCTGGTCCAGGAGGATACGAAGATGTCTGTGCAAAGCAATCACAGAGCTATCCAACATATGAACACAAGAAACAGGAGCAGGAGCGGGCCATTTGGCCCTTTGAGCCTGCTCCACCATCCAATATAATCATGGCTGATCATCCAACTCATATCCTGTTCCCACTTTCACCCTCATACCCTTTGATCCCTTCAGCCCCACAAACTATCTCTAACTCCATTCAATGCTTTGGCCTCAACCACTTTCTGTGGCAGAGATTTCCACAGGGTCACCACTCTCTCAGTGAAGACATTTCTCTTTCTCTTGGTCCTAAATAACCAACCCCACAATCCTTAAACTGTAACCCCCACCCCACCCGCAGTCATTGGGAACATTCTTGCTGCATTGACCCTGTGTAATCCTGTTAGAATTTTATAGACTTTGATAAGATCCTTCTCATTCTCCAACTAACCAGTGACGATAGCGCTGACCAATCCAGCCATGGCAGGTATCTCCAAGGTGGTAGTGCTCCTCCTACACTGAGTTCCCTGACCTCATCGCAGAGACAACCCAATAGCCCTGTTAACGTGAAACCATGGAACACTGGAACACAGAGGGATCTATCTGATTTAAACTCACAAGAGGGAGGGCTGTCATACTCAACGTTAACCAGTGGGTGGGATGTGCTCCTCACACACCCCCCCATTGAGGTTCAAAACTGGGTATTGGCGACATGGAGTGGAATATTCAGTGCCCCCCACAGCCTGGGCAGAGGAACAGCAGGAGAGGAAGAATCGCAGAATGGTGAGAGTGCAGAAGGAGGCTGTTCTGCCCATCGTGTGTGTGCCAGCTCTCTGATTCACTGAGAGTCCATCCCACCACCACAATCCTGCAGAGTCTTCCTTTTCAGATGGTGGGGGGGGGTTAGGCAGCTCTCCCAAAGGATACCCTGAGCGACTTTCTACCCCATGTGGCTGGGTGACATCAGGATAAAGAGAAATGCAGCACCACACACCCTCTGCTTTGTGGTCACGGCCTTACTGCACTGATTGTTCATTTCTCGGACACACGCACTCTGGCCGGTTCTCTAACTGGGGATTTCAGCAAACAGCTTCAGGGTGGGTTGTAGGGGTGGGTCATCCAAATGATCTTGCAAACGACAATAACAACAACTTGTACCAGCTGATGGGCCTCTGCATGTTTCGTCCCTGCGCACACATGTCATATGGTTTATTCCAAAAATAACATTGAACCATAGTGTGACAGCATCTTAACTGCTGTACAAAACTGTAAACTGAAACCAGGGACATTACAGGGTCTCAAAAACAGCTCCAGCTGTTTATTGGAGCTGCATTCTTGCTCTTACTAATCTTTCAGACGCAAATAATACTCCATGGCTCCTGAGCTTTATAGCACTTTGTGAGTCTGTTCCACAGCAGCTTATTAGAAACACACCCATCCCCAAATAATAAAATGTCTG